TGCTGGGGTTTCGCTGTTGTGAGATGTTGCGCTGAAAAGCTGGTAGCTGAGCCGGGAACAGTTCGGGACCCCAGAAGAAGCGAAACGTCCATCGTTGGAAGCCGCTACCAATCAACGACAATGAAGGCATGACTGTGGACACTAGTATGTATGTAAGTGTAATAGTGAACTTTGAGGTGCAGTACCTGCTGTATCAATGCGCGCAATAAATCTCGAGTCATCAGCCCAAAACATGTCTATAGTCACAATCTATTACGTGATAATATTTCTGTATTTCTTGCTTCGAATATTTAAGAACATTTTACCCAATGTTCCTCCTTCAGAAAGTCTCTCAATGACATGTTATTATTGAATAAACCTACAGATATAAAATTAATATATAAAAGTGGTCGCAGGCGTTTCAGTGGTGCAGTTGCACTGAATATCCTTGTAGCAGCAAGCTTAATTAGAGTCGACCCCCTGAACAAGCCCCGCGGAATTACTTGCCGGGAGGAGTAGCCACGAGGTCAGAATTACAGCCCTGCGGTGACCTCTAGGATAGAACGGAAGCACAGAACCAAGGTAAATAAAACTCCCTTAGACTTCTTGTTCGTCTGTTCAAATAAACACTGATTCAGTGACCTATACCAGAGTCTACTGTAATAATTCTGAGGAAATGAGGAGTACCGTTTGCCCTTAATAATGGAGCTAACTGCATGTAAATAACAAAGACATTTCTGCCGAAGAACATGTTGCACAATAAGACATCACAGTTATACCTAGGTTGAAATGGCTAAATACTGTTGCGTGTACAGCCATTGCTGCGAGATAGGCGACTATAGGAGAAGAGTTTTAGAGCAACGGCTCAGTAAACAAGTTCTTGCAAAAAAGAACACGCACGAAACAATAGAAGAAGGACCGTTTATATGCAACGGTAAAGTAAACACGCCTCTACAATAATTGTGTTATTGTTGGAGACAGTGTTTTCTATTCGGACCGTGCAAAGTGGTTCTGAAGAAGAGGTGTAAGGTTTGGGAGTTGAGTTGAGTTGAACCTGTAAGGGAGGCTAAAATGTTTAGTTACGAGATATTCGCCGGACAATAAAGATGTGATCACAGAAGCGGAAGGATCGGCATTGTTAAGATCCGTTACTAGGAAATGTCTAGTAAAAACAAACTGAGAACACTTAGTTGCCAGGAGACGACTAGTGAAGACGGAGAGTCCTAGTGCGCTTGTAACGGTGAACTGTAAAGTATTCAAATCAACGATAGGTCTTTATTAATTGTAATTAAGAGAAATAGTAACCGAAGTTATAATAAATCCAATCACCCGAACTAGAACTCGTTATTTTCGTCACGCATACCACTCTGCATGTGACAATATCAACCGGACGATAGTCAGTTAAGCTGATATATATAGAGGAATAGAAATATAATTTAATTAATTTATGCTACCTTTCATAGATGTAACTGGCACACGAGTACGATACACAACTTGATGCTCCAATAAAATATTCAACATTTTACCATTATATTTGAGGACGAAGCTTTATAGCCATATGAAAGACACATGAAATGACACTTTTGTGTCTTTCAGTGTTTAGGATTTCGGTTATACGAGATGAAGGTGAGAAATCCTGATCCAAATGGCAAAGCATTCCCGGATACTGCCTAAATTAATTGCTTTGTATATGTGACCTTCGTTTGTTTGCCTTAGGACACAGCTCTTAGAACTTTGCTGTTCACTTTCATATATACCGTTTCGGGTTTATTTATGACTATATATACATGCTACGTTCTGTACATGACAAGCTGTTGCTTCAGTTAGTTATGTATCCTGCAGTGATACGAGTAGAGATGAATTGCTAAGCGTGGAATTGGATGAACCAGCACTGCAATTATAGCATCATTTTATTGATATAACTCATGTGTTAAATTGCTTTAATGTTATGCTGAAATAGAGAGTATCACCAGCGAATACGCATAGATTTATCCCTTCTGTAATATTTGTAACTTGCAAATACAGAGTCCCTTCAAACTATTTCCTTGTACCTAGTAATAACGTGAAAATACTGTGGCGTATTGACGCCATGCTAGAACTACTGAGCCACAGAAACAACCGTTGTTAAGTAATACGTGCTCCCAACAATAAAGCAACTGGGTTATGCTACCGGTTTGTAGGACAACTGCTCGGTAAACACACTTCCGCGTAGGCAATGACGTCACAGAACAGAGAATAGCGATCACGTGAGATGTTTTCTGTAGATCCGCGCCGAAGGTTTATAAGGGACAACAAAGGTCGTTTGCGGACAGTCGTAAGTTGGAGGAGTGAGTAGTAGACGGAGGTTTTAGTTGAGTTTCGAGGTTCCAGCTTGATTGAACCAAAAACTGGAAGAAGACTTCATAGTGATTTGAAGTAGTAGTTTCTGTGTTAAGATCCGTTGCTAGGAGACGACTAGTGGAAACTGAGAATCATAATGCGTGTGCAACAGTGACGCTAAATTGTGGAAATCAGCGATACCGTTGTAATTAAGTATGATTAAGGGAAGTTGTAGCCGAGGTGATAATACTTCCAATCATCCGATCTAGATAGAACCCGTTATTTTTGTCACGCTTAGCCCCATACACGTGACAAAATGTTTAATGTGGTAATAGTCATTTTAATCTCTGGAGACTGTAGGCGTGTTTTGTAATATGGGTTACACTACTTGTGTCTACTGTACTCCGGCAACGCAAGAGGCGAAACTGATTGGCTGAAACAAGGGAATGGCGGATCTGCTTCAAAAGTTGAATGTTCATTTCATCTGAACATTAAAGATAATCTGTATTTAAGTATGAAGGAAATTCTCTGACACACGGATCTTCTTGTTACGCGCTCAGCTGCGTTTCTTCAGCTCAGATGCAGGTAGCGCACAGCTAACTAATTCTGTGGAGCAGAGAATCCTTTAGAGATACTCAGTCTCGAAGCTTGTCCAAAAAATTGCTTACGTTTCATAGAAATCGAAGATTCATTATCGTACTCATGATAGACTTAAATTGGAGCCTGTAATATTGAAAGAAAGGTATGGTCGAGATTCTCATTATACTGTTCCTTATTATCTAAAATCAAGAATACGATTCGTGAATTTTTATTGGTTTACTTTTCATGCAATGATGACCAGATCTGTTACTTGATGGATTATCATTAGTAACCGGAAGCATTATTCGAGGATTAACGCTTTATCGTTTTGGAAAGAAGCGATGTAGATTGTTATAAAATATGTTACTAGAAGGTTGAATTAATCTAACATTATTCCAACTCATGTAATAAAAACTTCGAGTAAATGAAGTAAATAACCAATCAGTGTAGAAAATTAAATATAACAGTTCGTATGATGAATACTAAAACTCATTTCCCACGTTACATTTGCAGAAGGTTTTAATAAACGACGTAAAAAGCCCACCCTAACGCAAAATACAAAAGGTACGATGCGAAGCAATGCTCGTATGGTTGATACAAGAAATACGTTAAAAACCAATTATACTTTATCTGTAAAACTCTTAAGAAATGCATATTTTATAATAATGTTATGACCTATAACTACGAACCATTGCCGATTAGAATGACCGAGCGGTCAACGACATGAACTGCCTTCGCCCTTTCGGACTCTGGGATCGTGGGTTCGAATCCCACTTAAGGCTTGAAAGTTTGTCTACCTTTATTCTGTGTTTGTATCCAAGAAATCTTACCAGCTATCCAAGGAATAAGAAACTAAGGTGAAACAAAGCGTTTCACGAATTACCATTACCCCAAAATTAGAGCAACAGGAAAGAGAAATATATATATATAGAGAGAGAGACGGACCAGAGTTTTTTTTTTCAATGGTTCTTCCGGCCCATTCAGGGCCCTGGCCTCTTATTCAGTTCTGAAATTATTTTTCACAAACTTTAGGACTCCTTGGGCGAGTGATCAGCCCGTCGCAAGGCCTCTACCTAAACGCAGAATGAACACATAAACACTCCGAATATTCATGCCTTAAGTGGGATTCGAACCTAAGATTCCAGTGTTTGAGCGGCCTTAGACTGCACAGCTACTGTGACCGGCATTATGTAAAGTACACACATGTAAACGTAATTTATTTTTCTTATTATGCCTCTGCATATGGCCCCGAGCTCCCGAAAGATGCAAGGCCACACGTCTAGTTTTATCTCTTATATTCTTACACGGGACGGCTCGTTGACCCAGCAATTACTGAATTTTTAACGATAAAAACGTCACATAATAAAAAAAATACATTAAGCGTTTGAGAGAAATGTTATACAATGTTATTATTATTATTATTATTATTATTGGAGGGGGTGGGTTTCCCCATGCACCGCGACCAGTGGTCTATTGTACGTCCCCCTGTGGTATTCTACCAGTCTCTATACCGTACCGATACTGGTGCGTGCCATCAGTCCCGACTCAGCCAGCGAGTTCGGCCTCTACTGGCTCAGCGGTATTTAGATGCTTCCCCCATCTACCAGAGGCGTTAGAGACTATTGTTGGGCGGGAAATGTCCTTAATAATTTGGCTCAGTGACCTCCTTTGGAGATATGAGGTTCTTTTACGTGCCGTAAAGCTATGACACGGGACCCACGGCTTGAAGTCCCTCCCGGAGGACTTGTTCCCTGAATTTTTCCGCCCTTAAAAATTCCATGACCTCCGCCGGGTTTGAACCCGCGTACCTTAAGTCATGAGGTGGGAACGTTACACAAATACATGTTTAAATGAGAGTGAGGTTAGCAGAAACTATCAGAACTAAATTCTCCTCTCTATTAGAGGGACATAGATAAATTGTCGCACTGTATATGTCGTTATCTTCGTAGCACACCCTATATATAGGGCAGTTCTCACAAGGGGCTTAATATATATCCATTCAATTGTGAGTAGCGTAGATACATGCATGTGTACCCTCCCGTTCTGCAATGCGACCGCAGCCGCAAGCAGATTATTTACTGAACCCGGCTGACTGATTTATTTCTGCTACTGCAGGTACAGCTGAGCAGAGCTGCGGTGTATGAGCGGACGTAACCATTGCCTAGCATCTCTGGAGTTTACCTGTGCAGTCGCAGTGTTCTTTGGAGTGTTCTGGTATCAAATGGAAAATTGTATTTCCTCCTAAGGCCTTAAAGCATGAAATTTATCTACAGGTAAAAGTAGAAAGGTAAAGTTCAAATCTGACATATAACGACGCCAGACGTTGAAACACGAAAGATGGATAAACCCACAAATTAAAAAAAAAAACTGACCGGGAAACATACAAATAAGCAGTATGGAACATCACAACAACTAGTTCCGAACAATAGGACTGCTCCGTAAGGAAATCAAATGGGAGTAGAAATAAAACAAACTTGACCACGATCAAAACAGCCCTCGCAGATAACTGCATACTGTAGCGTCATAGTTGCCATGACGCAAACCAAACTGAACGGTATCTATGTGTGAGATATTTAAAGGCGACGTATATTTTAATTCATAGTCTGAGTGTCTTTTAAATTTAAAAACTTTTATTATTTTTATATTGTTTTCTTATAGATGCTTTTATGTACATTTCTAGGCAACCACTTAATATAAAACGTTTGTTCCAGTTTTAATATATTTCCAAGAATAAAATCAGACACATTGTTAATATTTGAAGAAAGCCGTTTCCTGGGATGTGGTGCCGTGTAGATATTGTGTTAACCGACGTTTCGGAGGAATACAGTATCTACACGGCGCCACATCCCAGAAGACGGCTTTCTTCATAGTCACCGCTGTGAAAACCTCAAATCTTACTTAGTAATATTTGTTGTATTATTCATATAAAATGTTATTCAGTTGTTTGAGAACACTACTTAGTGTACACTGCCTATTGATGGCTTTGTTAGCCGAGACGTATAGCGCACTGTCATACAATTAGGAACAATAAACACGTTATACACAATAAGTATGAAAGAAATTTTAATAGTTGTATTGAGACGGAAAAAATAATAAATTTAAAAGTAAAGATTTCCCTGTGCTAACTAAGCGCTACGCCATGAAGACGTATGGGGGAGTGCATGTATAGATCCATGTTTTCTTAACCTCGTCACTAGTTGGAGGTGAGTGGTCAGCTTCACATTCCGGCCGCTTTACCCCTTGGGAAAGAGGCCCCGGTACCCACTGGATAGGAGGCTGGGTAGACCCGAGAGTCGGTCTGAGTGACCTGGAGAAGTAAAAATTCTTGACAATACCGGGACTCGAACTCCGACACCTCAGTCGTCCAGCCCGCAACCTTACCGACTGCACTATCCCACCTCACAGGATACTTAATATTTTATACCAGAACTCACAGAAAAAAACATAGTTTATTCTCAGAATTAACAGTGATTATTTTTTCAAAACAGCACTAACTGATTTGTCTTTTTAATGGAAAAACATTCTCTATACTAGAAACTGAGCTCGTAAAACCCTTTTAGATAAATGTTAGGCTTTAAGAGGCTGACAGCTGATGTCCTATATCTTACATAAAGCGTTGAAGATTACAGTTTCTCAGGTAACTCATAAATAAGGCGTTATTTCTGGTGTCGTCGTTTATTGAATCTTAATACTTAAATACGTTGCGTTAACTATTTAATTGACTGTACACTCATTCTTCAACAGGCTTTCGTCAAATTGGCTTGTTTCATCTTGAAATGAAATGTTAAGCTCCTACATATCTCCTTAACGCGACTGCTGACCTGGTGTAATAAGAAATCTAACGAAAGAAGTTCCACATCTCTGATTATAGTCCTTAATGCTTTGTGATTCACTGACATTACCCTGTTTCCTCGTTGCGTCCGTGACAGTGACTTTGTTATTAACGATCCGATGACTATATTTTGTCCATGCATATTAATCACACCATACAGGATGGAACAAACAGCAGCGGTTGGAAGGTTACATCCGTATACTGGAAGGCAGGCACCCCTAAGTTACAACCCTCTCCTTCACCATCCTCCAATGAAATGTAGCCTCTCCCTGTCCCAGATAAAATTGTAGCAACAGTGATGCTCCAAACATGATGCTTTCGAGAGGTATTGTGAAAACGTATATCCAGGCTATATCTCATGCTTTGTAATAATGATATTGTCACTTGTATGAGTGACTATAGACGGGGTTTGAATCGGTAATTGCATTTATTGAACTCTTACAGAACGTAACTACATGTAACTCCTAGCATTATCGCTAATTTACACACTCTACAATTTGACTACAACACGTACTAAGTCTGTTCAGTCTCCTGCGTCTTCATCAGTCGTCTGGTAACGGCTTCCAACATCGTAGCTTCCTCAGCTTCCGTATTCACTCCATTATTGGCAGGCGAATATCTCCCAACAAGCTAAACTCTTCGCTTCACTCGACTCGACTGAACTAATCGGCGCGGATCGCACAGAACATACCGTTCCAACATTTCTCCTAATGTTCCGTCGCAGAACTATAGCACGGATCGCATAGAGAACACCGCTTACAAGTTAGTCCATTGGTGTGCGTTAGGAATTTGTTGCCTAGCAAAGGGCGTTGTTACTTAGCGACAGGTCTACGTGCTACAATATTTAAAAACTTTATTCGCATTCCAACTCCCAGATGCAATCTGAATTCTTCACGGTTTCTTTTATGACACTCTCATACATCCTGGTAACGCGACAAGTAATTAGTGGGTCCTCCGGATTGATGGATCGATTTACTTGACGTCACTATGACAATTACACTCAGTTATAACAGTTCAGACACACAGCTCATTCCGGATAACAATCCCTCTCTGCGTAGCTCTGCTTAGTTCCTAGAGATCACGCTGATTCACTGTCGAGTCACTTCTTCTTCTTCCGCCTTCTGTCGCATTCTGGTCTCTCCTGGTACCACAACTGAAACACAGGAACTATAGTAGTCACACTCCAGACAGCACTGCACTGCAGCACACATAAAAACTTCAAATTACACGTTAAACCTTTTACGAACTTCCCGTGGCTATCCTCCACCGAGAACTCAGAACTCTGTCACTGTCACTGTCACTGTCACTGTCACCGTCACTGTCACTTCAAACCACTATGAAGGCTTCTTGCCTTCAATCACGTTGCACTCGTCTGTCCTAGTCTGTACTCAACTAATCTTTACAGTTCACTAAGGACATGCTCCATTCTCGTCCCTGTACTCTCAACTGTCTCTTAGCTTCTACTTCGCTCCTCCAGCTTACGACTGACTGCAAATGACCCTTGTTGTCCCCCATAAAACTTCGGCGGGGACCTACAGAAAACAAGTCACATCATTCCTAGCCAGTGACTTCTTTCGTGCGCCTTCTGTTGCCTAGCAAACGAGCAATAAACATTCGTTCACTGAGATATAGCTTCTATTATTGTGCGTTTTAACGTGTTTACTGATTCGTTTCCTAGCAACGATCATGTATTGTTGTCAGGCGCTTAAGCGATAAGGTTTTTATCGCGCTCTTGCCTAGCTGTACGCGTTACATTACTATCCTACTCTCTTATGTTGTGTACCTCTGGACGGAAAGATATGTTGTCATCAGTTGGGAAAGATATCGAAATGTGGCCAGTCTACTTCAACGTACGTTGCTAAAATTGTGGTTCAGTAATTTCTAAATTTCGTTTCTTCTCAGTTATTCGTTGTATAAACTAGTAGTATAAAGTCCTAAAAGATAATTCAGACTATCCATATTCCTTATATGAAATGTAATTATATTGTCTGCAAATATAATGCAGTGTAATTGTAACAGTTATCTTTAAACGTCAATACAATGATGAGATAGCAATAGTACATTCTTAGGTTTTGTGAGGATGACCTGTTAACTCTTGCGTAGTTGCGCGCCTCAGTCGCATGGAAAACTCAACTTCCAACAGCCCTTCCATTGTTGCATGCATAACTTGCTGTGGGAACGTAGCGTGGACCGCATAGAAAACAATTGATCATGTGTAATCATACTGTTCCCCAGCAGTGGACGTTTCTCCTGACTCCACTCGTGCACTGCACGTAATAGCCATACTGCCTACGTTATTTCAGCGTTTTCATGAAGGTTCACTTCCTCTATGAGCCAAACGAAACAAACTCGCAAAGAAAATTACGTATAGACTTGCATACTTATTCTACTTATTGCTTCTGTGTAGCTCTATCATAATGTTTGTTGAGATTTGACGGATGTATGTTAAAAAATCTATCAAAATTCCCAACTTGAAGCAAGAAGCAGGCTGGTCTCTTGCTTGCACTACTCTTCAGTTCTCGAGATGGACGCCACAAGTTCCTCAGAAACGTCGGTCGACTTTTGCCTAACTACAAGATGTTATATCCCAGGAGACAGAAAATCTAACATTGTACACTGTAAGCTAAAATTTAAGATACTCCAGACAAAGTTTCACTCACTTGGTATGATAATCCTGTTACTTAGTACTAGGTAGAAGTATTCCCAGTTTAATTGCCATAGGAAGACTATTTTTACTGATGTGTTTAGTAGTTCTCTTAGTCTCCGCAAAAAAAAAAATTATGAATCATGTATGTAAATAGGTCAAGATCACGTTTTTCATCAAGATTCGAGATTAATTATTAATAGTTTTCTTGTCATACATTGTAATATTTTGTATACAACTGATATAATATTTCCTTACGTGGAGTAAGGACAAAAATTCTATTAATCGCTTGTTTTAGCTTACTTCCCTATTCTGAAAGAACCAAAAGACTATCGTGAGATTACCTTGCTGTCTGTATGTCGCGTAAACCATCCCTCCATAATAAATGGAGCCAGAACAGAAGACCGTTGCTAGGCAACAGTTCGATAAAGACGTTACCGCTGCAACTCAAACACACTCAGAAGTAAAACTGATAGGCGCGGTGTTTGCTATGTGGTCAGTATCGTGTCAAATACAGAAGATATAATGAAAAGAAAGTAGGCTATCAGTACTTCCCAGAACTTCTCTCTTATTTGATTTCCTTGTAACATTTTGGTGGCAGTGATATCCTCGAATTATTTATGTTTGGCAGAGATTTGAAACTGATTACCAATCCCGAAAATTGCCCCATAAAAGTGATTGATGAGCGATCAGCATTCGATTGTATTTAAACGTGCTGTCGCTGCAATACAGGACACCTGCTTCGAGTGCCACCTCCAGGTGACACACGCAATTAGAACTATTTCCATGTATCACTT